TGCAGGGCTGGAGCTCAAACTCTGTGCTGTCTTACTTGCAAAGTCTTAACACTCAACCCCTGCTCCCACAGCTTCATCTGGGAGCCCTTGAGGGCACACAAGAGAGTCTTGGCTGGGCCAAGACCCAGGCTCCAGCCCCCAGAGAAAGGGGAGACCCCTGCCCGCCTGCATTAATCCAGCAGAACCTTTGGCTCTGAGATCGGCCTGGCCAAGCTCAACCTGGCCCCAAGCACGACCTACTCTGTCCTAGCTCATGCCCACACACACCTCACACCCCAGCAGTGGGCATGAAGCAGGCAGGGCCCAAGCCAGAGGGAAAATTAGCCGTAAAAAGGGGGGCCCATGATGGTGCCAGAAACAGGGAGCAGCAGCTTCACAAGGACAGAGGGGTGGCCACAGAGACCCAAGAGGAGATCTGGGGGGTCTTGAGGCCCCCCAGTACCTCCTACTCCCCTGGAAGGAGTATGTGCATGGCTGCGTGGAAACAAGGGTGAGCGAGCATTCCGCTGCTTCTGTGGCCGTGTGGCAGGGAGTGTCGGCGAGTGTGCAAGTCTTAGGGTGCATGCGTGTCTGTGTACACACCCAGGTGAGCCAACAGCATTGTGTCTTGTGTAAATGTGTGTGTCCCTGAGTCTGTGTGAGCAAGTGTGGGGATGAACACACACTCGAGTCAGCCTGTATCCAAGTGTGTCCAGGAGGTAACGCTCCCTCTCCGTGAGATTATGTTGATACACAAGTCCCATCTCAAGGGGTAAGGATGTATTTGTGTGTGTGTTGGTGCAGAGAGAACACAGATCCATCATTTCCTGTGTCCAAAGGTTCATCCGTCAGCGGCCGTGTGTCTGGATACCAGCATGGGCACATAGTTCATATCCTCATCTTGGCGGCAGCGGTGGTGTATGTGTGTGTCCCTATCCTGGCGTGCATCTGTTTGTTGGGAGTGGGGGCCCATCCATCCCCTCTCTCCCCTCTGCCGACGACTCAGGCCCGTGGCTGCAGTGGGCTCAAGCAGCTCCAGCAAGCACCCCGCCCAGCCGCCCTGGATTTCGATGCTTTTTCCAGAAGGAGATTTTCCCCCCCGCCCTTCCCCCTCGCCCACAGTGCCTTTCCCCGCCAGGGCCCCGCTGCTCCAAGCTCGTTCCTGCTCAATCATTTATTGACTTTAAAATCGAAGCCAATTCTGGTTTGAAAAAAAAAAAGAAAGAAAAGAAAGAGGGAGAGGGAGAGAGAGACACGAAGGCCAGAGAGAGACAGAGTCCGAGACTCAGGAGGAGGGGGAAGCAGAGATGGGGCCAGAATCAGAATCAGAGACAGAGGCAGGGAAATCTAGGGACAGTCTAAGATATAGGACAGAGAGAGAAACGGAAAAAGGGCAGAGAGAGACAGAGACAGAGGAAAAGACAGAGACTGGCAGAGCAAACTATGGAAGCAGAAAGATTTATAAAAACAGACTAGATCCCAGAAATGTGGCCGTCAGGATGAGGGCAGGCCAGACCCTGCTGACCGGCCGACAGCAGCGGCCTGCCCAGAGCTGAGGGGTGCAATCCAGTAAGTCCATGCCCACTCCTCTCCCCAAACCCCCTGGCACACTCAGGGCTGCAACACAGAACTGGGCCCTTGCTCCCTTCTGAAGTGTCAGAGTCAAGTCCTCACCATCGCCTTGAGTCTTGGGGCTGCCCCAGCCCCTTCCTAGTCATATCACCAATGGCTTTTTCTTTCCCAGGGTGCTGTGACATGTGAGGGGAGGCCAAGTGCTCACCCAGGCCAAGGAGGGGGACAGGCCAGGGAGCCAAACTGGCAGCTGATGGGCAACAAGTGGCTCAAATATGGGATCTTGATCCCACTAGGCCCCAAACACCAGCCACATAGGCCAGCCAGGTATGGCCCCAAAGGCAGCCACAGCTCAGACCCAGTTAGGTGGGTAGGGTGCTTATGCAGAGTCCCAGGATAGGGTGGCCAGCCACTCAGAGGCACAAATGTGGGGGTCCCCCACACTGCCATAGCAGCCAGAGTGCCTGCTCACACCTGCACATACACTATGATACATACACATGCATGTGCACCTCACCAGCACATGCTCACACCTGCTTTTGTACAGGAAAACCCTCGCCCTGGGCCACACACATGTCCACATCAGGCCAGGCTGCCCACGCTGATCCACAAGGCCACAAGCAGACCCCGAGATTGACACACACACTCGCATCTTTGGATCCAAGAGCATGGTGTGGCATTCTGTTTGTTGGTGGGGGCACTGACACACCCCAGACATACCTTCTTTCTTGCCCCTTGTCACATACCACGCCCGCATAGCAGCCATATTCATGTGGACTCGCACTCCCAGCCTGGGCACACTTGGCACACAGCTTGTCACAAGGCTCAGATTGTCAGAGGGGACAATTAGGACCCCCGGCCTGGCCTAGAGACGCCCCCCACACAAACACAGGCCTTGCTAGCAGGCAGGGCCAGGCAGTCCCCAAGTGTTCCCTCTGTGGAGTCTGGGTTGCCAGCCATGGGCTGGCCCAGCAGGAAGCTACCAGGGCCTCTGTGGAACTCCAGGCAGCTTCTGTGCCCTCTCAAAGCGTGGGGCCACCGCCAGGGAGGGTGGGGTGGCAGGGCAGACATCCCCCAGGCCTTTGCCGCCCAGCGAGCGCTGCGCAGGAAACTTCGCTGGAGGCGGGACGCTCTCTCACAGCGCGCCAAGGTCGGCACAGCGCCCGTGGCTGACCCGACGGCGTGGCCGCAGCACGGTAGGCAGTGTCCACCGCTGCCTCCCGCCCTCCCGCCTCCAGGCGGCGGGACGGGATTCCCCAGACCCGCTGGGTCCACGGCGCGGCAGCCGGGGTCGCTGGGGCCGGAAAGTTTGCGCCGAGAAAGTTTTTTTGTGGGTTTGGGGGGTTTTTTTTGGCTGTGATGGGGGGGCTCGGCTGCGGCGTCCAGGGTCGGCGAAGAGGAGCGGCCGGAGCTGGCAGCCCGCCCGTCCCTCCCTCCCCTCCCCTGCCCCACCGAAATTTGGGA